AACAAGGGCCTAAGACGACTAAAAAGCGGAGTTTCCTTCTTTCGTTCTGCCGGGTAAAATCAATTACTTTAGGCGACATTTGTAGACTAACCTACATGTACCAACGTCCGCATGTCGCGCTAGCCTTATCCTACTCTAGGCCTAGACTAGCTAGGATGGTATAGGCCTTGAAGGGACAAAGGTCCCAATGAAAAACAACGTCGCTCCTTGATAGCTAACATTGTCTATTTAACATCACAATAATTCATTATTAGACCTATAGTTGTTTTTTGAATGGTACTCCACAAATCTCAGCCGATACCTCGCACAACTCATTAACATCTCGTATCTATTGTCGTGACGTCATGGCTCGCTGGCTCACCACTTGTGATGTCTCGCACTTGTGATCAAATAACACGCTGGCTCGCACTTTGGCAACACTCTTTGGCAGTCAACTCGCCCCTAGAAAACCCACCCTTGGAAACTTCCCCCATAAAAACATGTACACTTCCTAGACCATGCAGTCTTCAAAAGAAAAATTGTAACCTTTGGTAATCAACTACATTTTCCACATACTTAGAAATTTTTGAAACTTTATTAAAAAAAACCTAAACCATAATTCACCATTATAGACACTTTTTGACAAAATTTAAAAATTAGGAATTTTTAACCCAATGAGAAGTGTTCTAATATAGACAATGGGTCGTGTCTCATATTATTTGTTATATTTTTATTATTAATTATTTTCACTTGACTCGCATAAATAATTTTGTTCGAAGAACATTTATATGCAGTTGTACTTCGCAGCACTTCACTTGCAATTTGCAATTTCTAGCTTACATGTTATGGAATGGTGCTTTTATAACTTGGTGGCTTTGTCTTCAAAACCTATAGAACACCAGAATTTTTCATACAAATATGAAAATGTTTCTAGGATGAGACTCTGTGGATAGATAGTACATAAATACAAAGTTCATTCTGTTATTACTGAGTGTATGTGCAGTTTAATGTGAAACAAAATTAATATTTAAATACATAATATTAAATAATTAACTCAGATTCACCAAAGTGAGTATGATGATGCATGTTTTTATTCATCATGGATTAGCCTAGTCCAAGTGCATTTTTCTTATTATTTATGTGTTTGTACGTGTTTTTGTATCCCTTATTCTTGCTGCCTGTGTGTCTAGCTGTAACATAGGAAGCAGCAGGGAAGTATTCTCAGACTCTGTATCTTCTCTTCACGGCTTGAAATCAAAGTTGTAAGCAGACTGAACATTCCTCAAAATGAATTAGTATTTTCCAAACAAGATGTTTTTCTCATATGATTGCGCTTTTCTGAACTCAATTATGTGCAGATGCATTTGTCAACATTGGAATCATTTTAATATAAACAAAATGAAATCATTTTTTGGAGGATCTCGAGAAATTATCATTTATATTTTGGCTAGTAACTTTTCAAGTTTAAATCTGTATTGTAGATATGTAAATGTTTTTGAACTCTCACTTTAGCAAACAGGTTTTATAATTGTCGTCATCTTTTTTCTATAAAATATTGTAAATCAATATCATATTTTATAATCAATATTTTATGTGCTGGTTTCCACTCAGCATAACCAGATTGTACAGTAATCCGTTATTTCCCTTGTGCTTACTGTATACATTTAAAAACAAACTCATTGTATTTTAAATTAATATGCTAATGTCTGTAGATCCACCTCATGTGGTAAAGTTGTGAAACACTACCCACAGGATAGTAAATTACCTACGATACACATCAGAGGCTTTGCATGTTAGAATTTAAATATTGTTTATTGGTGTACAAATACTGATATTTTGCTATTGTCAATCAATTTAACACACCTGCATGATTTCCATGGTTATTCTCACTTGGTCCTTATTACAGCCCTTAGGATAAAATACATCAATATCAAGATTGTGTTCCCAGTGACATATAGAAACTGAAGAAAAACTTTACAAACTGTCACCTTAGGATAAAGTCTTCAATGTATTAGTTTTGATGATGATATTTTAAGTACAGTAGATATGAACTTCTTTTAGTTAGTTCTGTGTAATGTTGAAGCTTTAGGGCATTTTTATATACAAGCATTGTGATCTAATATGTCAAGGAATGTTCGACTAAAAGGAACAGATTCTGAGCATTATGACCATTGGACATCTGAGCATGTTAACTAACTAATCACAAATGCACATTTTTATCCATAAACAATGTTGAAAGTTGCTCAGATATATTTCATATATTTCTCTTGATGATGGTGACTGATAGGATCTTGCTATGAATGTGTATGAGCATTCTTTTTGATTGATTCAGCTAAATGGAGACTGGTAGAAATTGACATTTTGGCTAATTCAATATTAGTAAATAGTACTCAAATATCTATACTGTTACAGAAGTATCTTAACAATTAGTTTGTGTTACTAATTATTTTTACCGAAATGTAGTCAAAGGGTCTTGGGCTTGAAGAAAGTTTATGGCGTCCATGTATTTTTCTTAATTAAACAGTCTTTTTTTAATTTCTTTTGTGAATTTTAGTCTGTCATCTAAGGTCATTATGTTGCAATATTTCTTTATTGTTGGCTAACTTTAGGTTACTGGCTAGTTTAGTTTCAAACTAATTTTATTTTGGGGACCTCTCACTGGAACTGCGCGCGTTCTACTAACCATGTTTTGAAATCTTCAGAGCAAGCCTGCATTCTTGACCTTTAAACAGTTTCAAAGCCTGACACCATGACCCTTGACCTTAGACAGTTTCAAAGCCTGACACGCTACTCTTTTCTTCCTGCTGTAGCTTTCATGCAGAAATCTCGCCACGAAACCGAAGCTGACAGTAACCGAATGATTGCTGGGTACATCCGAGATATCCGCCGAGGGTACCGTGC